GCTTCTTTGTCAGTTAGAAGTGCGGAGACACTTCTGGACAGCCAAGAAAATCTGGGCTTATATAACAAATTCAAAGATATCTTAGTATAGACAGAAATAAAATAAATATTACATATTAAAATACATAAGTAAATCAGATAGAAGGTACTAAAAGAAGAAGAATGGTAAGGAGCTTTATTAGCATATGCCTATATGTGGTAGTTAAACAAAAATTTTAACCAAAAGAATATATGAAAATAATCACAGTATAGGAAGTTGTCTCAAGACATTGTGGTCCAAAGTGCTACAAAACTCTTTTAACAAACTATAGAGACAGCAGTAATAGAAACATAGAAACAATTAAAACATGCACTCAGCAGTGATTTATCTTTATTATGGTTCAGATTCTGTCTAGTCCATGACCCAGACCTAAATAGAGAAACATAGAACAAGTAATCATGGAAAAAATTTCTATAAAAGGCCTTTTACCAGATCAGAACAACAGAGATTCATTAATATCCACTGCCCATGGCTAAAAAGTAATGGAGATTTCATCCATTTGGTAGGAAAGGGAGAAATCTCAAGATGATTCCAAATCTACCTTTTAATATCCACTTGGCAAAAAAATGAAGAGTTGAGAAAAACAGTAAGGCAATCTTGCACAGGGGCATTTTCAAACTTCAGTGGGAAAAGCTACTCAACATGCAGCCTAGGTTTTATTATAAAGAGTTCTGTAGAAATACTATGCCATACCTGAAATGATACAGCTTATCAAATAAGACTAAAATAGGGGACTTCCCTGGTGGTCCAGTGCCTAAGACTCCATGCTCCTGATGCAAGTGGCTTGGGTTGGAATCTTGGTAAGAGAACTAGATACCACATGCCACAACTAAAGGTCCCACCTGCTGCAACTAAGACCCAGCACAGTCAAATAAATAAAAATAAATATCTTTATAAAAAGATTAAAATAGAAGTTATAAGCATCATAGTTTAAGGTGACATTAAGTTCAGATTCACAGAAAAAGAAATTAACACTCACCTGTGATAAGAAGAGCTATATTCTAAAATGTACACTGATCAAAACTATGGTTACTGGATCCTCCCATGTTCAAGCACCAAGGTTATATTTGTTAAGTACTGTTTCTTAAGGATCAGGAAATGTAGTAACAGACACACATCAGTGAGGTGTCTCAGTCTAAATAGAGTAAGTGAAACATCTTTCTAGATTCCACAGTGAAGAATTTGTAAGGCTGAACAAATTACAAGATGAATGAAGAATGTAAATTCATCTCTGAGGCAAAGCAAGAAAGAAGACTGGGGAAAAGCAAGGAAAAAATTTACTTTGTAAATGGAGCATCTTCTTTTCAACCAAATGGCAGAAGTAAAAAGAATACCATAAGCTAGGGCATTCTTCTTAAGAACTGCAGGTTTAATAAAGCTATACACAAAACCTATAATAAGCACTTGAGCCACATGGCAACCAACACAAAGAAGAAACTGAACAAGTCTCTTAAAGTCAAATGAACGTCTCATGAAAAATGAATAGCTGCACCTCCATCACAAAATTTAAAGATGAGTTTTAAAAAACCTTACTTTGAGAACAAATAAAATTTTATGTCTACCTAACATTGTGGCTACTCACGGAAAAATCAAACAGTGTTTCTCACCATCTCTAGTAGATTTGTGCTCTGGTGTTCAAAAAACTGGATTTCAGATTAAGATCCAAAAGAGGGTTAGTTGTAGAAACAAGGGCATTTAAAGGAAATTTTATATATATATATATGTGTGTGTGTGTGTGTGTGTGTATATATATATATATATATATATATATTTTTTTNACAGAGGATGAGATGGCTGGATGGCATCACTGACTTGACGGATGTGAGTTTGAGTAAACTCCAAGAGTTGGTGATGGACAGGGAGGCCTGGCGTGCTGCGATTCATGGGGTAGCAAAGAGTTGGACACAACTGAGCAACTGAACTGAACTGAACTGAAAGAACTAAAAACAGTACCAGTACATAATATGCTCCATATTAAATTTTGTTAAATAAAATTAAATATTTATTAAGCCAAAATATATTAGTCTCTGCGTGTACAAAAACCAACAGGACGCTTGTTTTCAAAAAAGCTTGGTGAAAGAGATGGATGAATGAACAGTGATTACAAAAGAATAAGAATGGTTCTATGATAGAGATGAGCAGTCTACTTGTGAGCACATAAAGAGGACATCTAACGTCAGCACATCCTCAATCAGAGTGCTCACAATGAATGATGCCCTTACGGACAGAACTAGACTTGTCCACCAAATTCACCCAGGTTCCAAGACGTTGAATGAGAAAGTGCTTTCCTTGGTTTAGCTAAAAGAAGCCTGTCACAAAGAACAATCAGGTAATATAGGTGACAACTGCTACATGGAGTTCAAAAGGAAACTTATTTTCCCCTGCAGGTTCAAACAGTAGAGCCTACAAGTGGCCTTAATTTCACTCAAACAGTAGAGCCTACAAGTGGTATAACCAACGGGCCCTTCCTGAAAACATGGTTTTAAAATTTTTTCATGATAAAGTTAAAATGAAAATTCAAAAGTATCTCCTTTTGAGAATATACTTTCTCCATACCCTTGACCAACAATTCATAATATTTGTGAATTTGTTTTTTTAGTTTTGTTCCTCAAGTTTAAGGTTAAGTAAGAGAGGCAGTGTTAACTATGACTGGCTGCTAGGGAAACATCCAAGAATCACTAGTTTAAACATAAAACACTATTCCTTGAGGAAGTTTTACTCCCTCCCGCCTCATTTTCAGGTCACTTCAGGTCAGTCGCTCAGTCATGTCAACTCTTTGTGACCCCATGGACTGCAGCATGCCATCTTTTCTTCCAAGGAGCAAGCGTCTTTTAATTTCATGGCTGCAGTCACCATCTGCAGTGATTTTGGAGCCCAAGAAAATAAAGTCTGTCATTGTTTCCATTGTTCCCTCATCTATTTGCCTTGAGGTGATGGGACCAGATGCCATGATCTTAGTTTTTTGAAAGCTGAGTTTTAAGCCAGCTTTTTCACTCTCCTCTTTCCAGAAGTAGATAGAAAAAGGGCTGGGCCTCCTTAATCTAGATGTTTTTAGAGTCTCCTAATGACTATTTCTTGACTCTCAGTCTCTATCCTTGTGTATATGTGTTAGTCACTTAGTCGTGTCTGACTCTTTGTGACCCCATGGACTGTATCCCACCAGGCTCCTCTGTCCATGAGGTTCTCCAGGCAAGAATACTGGAGTGGGTTGCCATTTCCTCCTTCAGTCTCTATCCCTAACTACTGGCAATTGAAAAGTCCCTCTGCCTTTCCTCCAATACCCTGGTCAATGTTTCTGTGCCCTGCAACACCTATGTCATGGACAGGGAGGGAGTGGAAATGCAAAGGCAGAGCTCAGAAGTCTGAACTTCATGATATAGTTTTCTCTAGCCCACTCATGAGAGCAATAGACAAGGGCCACCTTAAAATACACCTGCCTTTTTGTAAAGTGGCAAAACAAATCCAGACAAACATTAGCTGCTACCTTCTCTGCCTCATTTTATAGCCTAAGTTTTCAGGAAACAGAACCAAAGAAAATTTTTCAAAAGTTAGAATACAAATAAACCACTCATACTTTCGTTTTTTTCTTATAAATATTGTAGACTTCAAAAAAAAGGGGGGGATATATTAAAAGTCTAAGATATACCACATTCCAGCCAAGTTACTATTCTTTCTTTTTACTTGCTTCCTAGGTGACACTAGTGGTAAAGAACCTGCCTGCCGAAGCAGGGGAAGCATGAGATGCAGATTCGATCCCTGGGTCGGGAAGATCTCCAGAAGGAAATGGAAACCCACTCCAGTATTCCTGCCTAGAGAATCCCATGGACAGAGGAGCCTGGCGGGCTACAGTCCACAGGGGTCGCAAAAAGTCGGACACAACTGAAGTGACTCAGCATGCAGGCAGGCATGTCGAAACCTGAGGTTCAAAACTGGAGTTTTCTTGACCAAAACCGTTAACCCATCTGAGACAGGTGTCTTTAGGTTGAATAAAACTTGTAAGGGTTACAGAAAACCACTCAGGACTTGTTACTACTCAAAGGGAAAGGATAATCCTTGCAATCAATATAGAACCTGAACTTGTACAATTTAACAGAAAAGACAGGATAATCCTTCTGAAAGTTGTCCATCCATGCATAAATGGAAAATTAACCTGGATAATGAAGAATTAGTAATAAAGTAGCTGTGTTCAACCTACTGAACCATAACCAGGATGGAATCTACACTGATAATGGGTACATTATCAATGTCTTAATACTAAAATGAGTGACTTTGACCCTACTATACACAAAGATTTTTTCCTACAGTGTTTTAATACAAAAGGTATCCTCATCCATTTGAAGATTTAAATTCATTTGGATGTGAAAAAGACATCCGGTGTCAGTTGCTAGAGAGAAAGAAGTAGATCTTCAGAGCTTGTTTCACATCACAGCTGGCAGGGTTTTGAACTTTCATTTAACTAGGTAATATATACTATTTGATAACATGTATACAAATGTTAATACACACTCATATATACTTATGTGATTAATAAGTATATACAAATACTAAATCACGTTAACTATTCCAGTTTCTTTAGTTAAAGCTTTTACAAGTCACCAAGACACTTTTATTACGCTAAAACTCTGAACATGAATTAGAAGAGGTTTATGAGTAAAAAAAGAGCCCACCTGATTGTCACTAAGTAACAGAACACTGGGTTTTCTTTATCACTCCTGCTGTGCTTCCAGACAACCAGAAGCTTCCCTTCTGATGCAGAGCCTGGTCAAGAAATCATTCCTAACCTCTGGGCCCCAGAACAGGAGAGGAAAAGGAAAGAGGGAAGTAGATTAAACCAACTCAATCACACACTGTAATCGCACATCTAAAGATAATGTATACAGTGAGACAAAGTAAAAGGTCAAATGACTCTTCTGACATCTGGTTGATCCATGAAAGAACAAGGTAGGAAGTAAGACACTTACCTGTTGTTCCTGCATTTTAGCAGCACCAAGTTCTGAGACAGACATAGTGAGCTTCTCCTGTTGTTCTGACAGATACTTCTGATAGAGACTTAGAAGTTCTTGGCATTCTTTATATTGTAACTGAAGAGGTAAAATTGCAAATTAAGGGAAAAAACTAATAAATGGATTTAAACTGCATCCAGCAGGGTAGTATTTCAGATTTCAACAAACAACATAGAAGCAGAAATGCAACCATACTTGGTGAGAGTGCAGGTAAGTGTAGTCGTCAGATGAACACAGCACATGTATCCCCCTCAAAATCATGAAACAATATTGTTTCAGAGAGTAACAATGTTCATCCTATTTAAATATTTCTTTCTCAAATCTTTAAATCTGAATAAATAAGAACAAATGCAAACATATGCAAAAAAAGTTGGACCCCCACCTCACACCATAAATAAAACTGACTGAAAATGGATCACTGACCTAAATGTAATAGCTAAAACTATAAGCTTCATAAACGCAAAATCTTTGTGACTGTGGTTTAGGCAATGTCACCTAAAAGCACAGCAACAAAGAATAAATAAATAAATTGGAGTTCAAATTTTAAAACTCTGTGCTTCACAGGACACTATTAGGAAATTGAAGAAACAACATCTAGAATGATAGAAAATATTTGCAAATCATCATGGGGACTCAAAGAGTCAGACACAACTGAGCGACTGAACTGAACTGGACTGAGCAAATACTAAAGGTCTGGTATCCATAAATATGAAGATGTTATGTGTATGTGCATGCTAAGTTGCTTCAGTCATATCCGAGTCTTTGTGACCCCATGAACTCTAGCCTGCCAGGCTCCTCTGTCTATGGAATTCTCCAAGCCTAGAATACTTGAGTGGATTGCCATGCCCTCTTCCAGGGGATCTTCCCGACCCAGGGATGGAACCTGCATCTCTTATGTCTCCTGCATTGCCAGGCAGTTCTTTACCACTATTGCCACCTGGGAAGCCCATGAAGATGTTACATAACTCAACAATAAAAAACTATCACCTAATTAAAAATGGGCAAAGGACTTTGACATTTCCCAAAAGAAAATATACAATGTCTAAGCAGTGTAAGCAAGGATGTTTTACATTATTAGCCACTAACCACTAGGAAATGGAAATCAAAACCATACTGAGATAACACTTTGCATTTACTAGGATGGCTATCATCAAAAAGACTGACAATAACAAGTGCTGGTAAGAATATGATGAAATCAGAACCCTCCAACATAGCTGAGGGGAATGTACAAAGCTGCTGTATTGGAAAATAATTTAGCAATGTCTCAAAAAATTAGACACAGTGTTTCTGTAAGACCCAGCAATTCCACTCCAATTCTCCAAGAGAACTGAAAATACAGGTTCACATCAAAAACTTGTACATGAATATTCAAAGTGGCATTATTCATAACAGTGAAAAAGTGAAAACAACTCAAATGTCTAATCAAGTGATAAATGGATAAACAAAATATGGTACACCTATAAAATGAAATATTTTTCAATCATAAAAGAAACAAAGTATTACTACATGCTACTGTATGAATGAACCCTGAATACATTATATGCTAAAGAAGTAAGACACAAAAGGCTACATATTCTATGTATGCTACTGTTGTTGTTTAAAATATACCTTCCAATGAGCCAGGGTAAAGAAAACTTAATTCCAAGTATGTGTGTGTATTTGTGTGTGCTAAGTCACTCAGTCATGTTGAAGTGACCCCATGGACTGAAGCCCGCCCGACTCTTCTGTCTATAGAATTTTCCAGGCAAGAATACTGAAGTGGGTTGCCATTTTCTACTCCAGGGATCTTCCAGATCCAGGGATCGAACACATGTTTCTTGTGTCCCCTGCATTGGCAGGCAGATTCTTTACCAATTTTAAGCATACCAGATCACAAATAAGAGTTATATTTATCCATGTTCATTTCCTGCCCCCTTCTCTAATTTTCTGAAATACTCATTATACGTGTTAAAGGGCAGGGAGATAAGCGTCCATAATAGGCAATCCCATATAGGCAGAAAGTATATTAGTGGTTACCAAAAGATGAAGAAGGAAAATAGGAAGCAACTGCTGATGGGTATAAGTTTTGTGGGGGAGGTAATGAACATGATTTGGAATTAGATATTTGTCTTTGCACACCTTTGGGAATATCTCAAACCACTGAACTGTATACTGTAAACAGGTGATTTTTATTGTGTGTGAATTATAACTCAAGCTGTTAACAAAAAATTCAGAGTAGAAGTGATGAAACTGTTTTGGTCAAAGCAATCACTGCCTAATTTACATTGAAAGTTCTAACTATACTAAACATAAGATTATAATTAGATTTGGCTCTCTTTGGTTTTGTATGTCAGTTAAGTCAATATTTCATTAATAAAAGCAACATCAGAAAAATTTTTTTCCCATATACGTGTTTTACAGTCTAGCATGTAGAACACGGCAACCTAACCTGGAGTTACCCTCTTCCACAGCTTCTCAAACTTGCAAAATACTCAAGAAGAAGATACTCAAACTCATAGATCAGGTGTCTGGGAGACAGGTAATTCTATTCAAGGGTGAGTTCTCTGTTCCCTATTTCTCACTGTGGTAATTTCTTCCCCAGGCCCATTTTTCTTTCAGATCATTTCTGAGTCTCCCCTCAACACCTAATTATGAATGCTATTGATATAAAATTACTGTCCAATGAGATTAGTCTGTATAAATACCTTTATAACAGGCCATCATGATTAAGGGTGGGAATAGTATTTCTTAAATGTCAAAAATGGTGACTGGCTTCAGTATTCTTCTTAACATTTTCATAACCTAATCATTGCTCCTGGGCAGATTCCTATCCTAATAATTTTTGCCAATCCTGACTGCATAAATAACCAACTGCTTCATTATTCTCATTATTAACCTTTAACAAAAAAGGAGCCAGAGATGACTTGTAGGATAGGAGCTGGTTCATAATGAAAGGCTGGTTACTAAGCTAAAGAATATATTAAATAGAAGAGAATGTTTAACACTCAGCATCTTAAAAAACAACAACGACACAATGAACAGTGGTCTAAATAAGCTAATATCCTTTCAAAGTCAATCTACATCAAACCAGGTTGGTTTTACATTCCCACACTTTTTCTCAGCCATCTCAAAAAGACAGGAATGATTTGTGGTGGTCCCAAGAGTCTCTGCCAGCTATATGATGTATATAAAAAGAATTTTTTTATTCTAGCTGTTACCATAGGCAATAATGTTTATAGTAGATGAACATATTAGCCTGGACACAGAATATGAATTTTATTCATGAAAAAGTTAGCACAATTATACAGCCTAAGAGTTAAATGTCAGCATTTGAAGGCAAATTATAGGCAAATTCATTTAAATACATGCTATGTGGCAGAATATAAAACAGGCAGTCCTAACTTCATCAATTTTTTATATCTGTATTGATTTACCAGATTTTCCTATAAAATCCAAAATATATGTACATGCAAAACAGTAATTCTCCTTCCTCCTTAGCACAATGGGACTACAATCCTCCATCTGTAGAGAGAGATTTATGTGAGGAAAATGTGGGTAAAATGCCTTCTTAACTGATGGTGGGGGGAGGGGAGATACTGAGAAAGAAGACATATTTAACTCAGTCCTGGCCAACAGACAGGGCAGAATGCAACAGATAGATGAAATTCAACCTAAGGGAAGGTGTGCACCAACCATGATGTGAACCCAGCACTGCAGGTCTGCTCAACTGTGATTTAAAAACTGAGAGAAACAGCAGTCCTCATAATCTCATCAAAGAAATAAAGCTTTCCAACAGAAAAATAAATTAATATTAAGCACTATCATATCAAAACCTAAACATCAAATTAATTTGCTGAAACAGCTGCTGGAAATGGTGATTTTGCAAAGCTTAAAGCCTTTAACCCCCAAAACGCATCATATAGAAAAATACTAAAACTAGAGATTGAGGCAAATGAATAGAGAAATGAAAGATAAAAAAATTCTTCGAGAGAAAAGGGTGGAAGGAGAAGGACCAGAAGACAGCATATGCTACTAGCATGTTGCCTAAGCAACTGTCTTAAACTGGAAGAATTATTCTGGTGCAGCAGAGACCACTCCCATTACCCTATCCCACCCTTGCCTCAGATGTCTAGGACACCTGAATCTGGTGGTTTACTATGTAATTCCTGATCTAATACAAAATGAAATGAAGAAAGGTCTCCGGGAGAGGACAAAACAGAAAAAAAAAAAAAAAATATATATATATATATATATATTTAAACAACTCCTTTTTAGGGAACCAAGACTCCTTAGAAAAAAGGCTGATTTCAATGGCTGGGACAGGAAAAGTACAAAGTAATCTTTAAACCCTTATTCTAATGCAAGAAAGTGTTTAAAACAAATAGATGAGGGCATATCAAGAGAAACAGCAGCAGATCTAAAGGGGACTCTCAGTCCCTCTCAGCTGGGGCTTTTTGGCCAAATTTGGGATAAATTGAGCATCAAAAAGAATGACTCATTAGTAGCAAATTAAGTAAACAAAAATCCACCAGTCTACTGTGATACTTCACAAAAGAAGAAAAGAGTGAAAGGGGAAAAAATTAAAGTCCTTTACAGAAAAATGCTAATTACATAGAAGGAATGGTCAAATTTTAAAAATCACCATTTTTGTAATCCCCAATGTAATAACTTAATTCAGGTGAGGTTCATTAGTGGATACTAAAATCAGTAGGTAAAAGGTTAATAAATAAGAAATTCATATGGTGTTAAGTTTAATTATTTACAGCAAAGAAGAAAATGACCTTTAAATGGTAAAATTTGGTAGTCATCACCTAAACAAAGTAAATTAATTTAGGATTACTAGTAGTAAAAAAAGAGCAGAAATTACGTACTTCCTAGTGTCTGAACCAGGCAACATCACCTAAGAAATAATTTTGCCAAGTATGCTTTACTTGAATCCAACCAAATCCGAAATCTAACTTCCATTTAACAGAAATTGAAAGAAACAAAGGAATAAGTTACACCACATGTAAACAATCAGACAAATCCACAATGTGGGATATTTTGCAAAGCACTTGAATTGAACTCTTCAAAAAGTCAAGTCATGTGGAAGAAAGAGGGAAGGACT